CCAGCACTAGTGTGCAACCTCTCGGATGGTGTTGTCAATGCAGTATTGAGGATCGAGATGTTATGTTATTATCTTTTCCAGTGGTCTATATGGTACTATTTCAGGGAAATAAAAATTGCATTTCTAGAGAGTCATTCTCAATTTATGGATGTCCGGACTGTCTTGTAGCACTGAAGTTTCTTTTATAGTGTAATACAAGTGAGGAGCAGAATTAATCATACTACTTGACGTTTGGAAATAATGCAGAAACGTCTGTTTGTTTGGAATTTAGCCAATATTTATTCCCTAAACTGACAGCCAAGAAAAATTAGCTAATGTGAGCACTTACCATGAGCAAAATGGCTACCATTTGATGTAGAAGGAGAAGTAGGCCATTTGGGCCATCAAGTCTGCTCTGCCATTCAGTGAAATCATGTCTGATCTGATCATTCTCACCTCCACTTTTCCTTTTCCTCGTAATGCTTGACTTTCCTTCTGGTTAGAAATTTGTCCATCTCAGCATTGAGTAAATATAATATTTACTGGACTTAAAATGCATTCACAGAATCATAGAAATGTTACAATTCCAAATGAGACCATTTGGCCCATTGTTTCTGCATCAGCTTTCTAAATAAGCATTATGACTTAGTGCCATTCTTCTGCCTTTTCGTTGTGCTCTAAAGCATTGTTTTATCCAAATAATTATCTAATACTGTCTTGAATGCCTTAATTGAACCAATCTCCACTCCAATTCTAGGCAGTACATTCGAGACCTGAATATTCAGTGCATGAAAAAGTTTTTTTGCATAAAATGTGCTACTTTGGCAAACCACTTTGAATTTGTGCCGTTGTTCTTGATCCTTTTATGAGTTCAAACAGTTTGTCTCTATCTGTTGCATTCAGATTTCTCATTGTTTTGAAAACTTCATTCCTAACTCCTCTTTGCCTTCTGTCCAAGAAGAACAGTCCCAACTTCTCCAATCTGTCCTTATGTTTGAAGGAAACATCTCTGGAAACAGTCCTGTGAGCCTCTTTGCCATTTTCTCCATGCTTTGAAGTTCTTCCTTTAGTGCAGTGCCCAGAACTACACCTAAGACTCTAGCTAAGATTGAACAAGTATCTTATAAAAGTTCAGCATAACCTCTTTGCTCTTGTACCCAATGCCCAGAATATTATATCTTTCTGTCTATCCTTCCACCTTGAAAGCAGGTGCATGTATACACCCAGGTCTATCGGCTCCTTCACCCCCTCTTAACAATTGTAACTCATATTTTATAGTGTTTTTGCATGTAGTCATGTTCCTATAAAAATGCACACTTGGCTGCATTGAACCACCAACTTGTCTGTGTCATTTTGGAGTTCTATACTGTCTATTTCATGGTTCATAATTCATTTTATGTTGAGCATAATGTAAGGTTTCTGAGATAAGTACTTTCTAGAATCCCTACAGTGTGGAAGCAGGCCATTCAGCCCATCGGGTCCAGACCAGTCCTCTGAAGAGCATCCCACCCAGACCTACCCTTACCCAATCCCATTTCTCACCCTAGACACCATGGGCAATTTAGCATAGTCAATCCATTGAAGTGTTCTTTCGTTTGAAGCTGTGACTCTTGCTGAAATATAGGTTCATTTGCCTAGATGAGTCCAGCTCCATCAGCACTCATGATATTTGCTACCATTTTCAGGACTAAGTAGGTTGCTTAATTAGCATCCCATGCACCAAATTTTGATAATGGGATTTAATCGTCTAATACCATAACCACTATGTTACTGTACCCTTTGCCTATGAGTGTTTGATTTTAGATCATAGAATCCCTACAGTGTGGAAACAGGTCCATTGGCCCAACAAGTCCACACCGACTTGCAGAGCACCACATGGACCCATTACCCTTTCCCTGTAACCCATCTACACATCCCTGAATGCTGTGGACAATTTAGCATGGCCAATCCACTTAGCCTGCACATCTTTGGACTGTGGGAGGAAACCGGAACACCCGGAGGAAACCCACGCAGACATGGGGAGAATGTGCAAACTCCACACAGACAGGCGCCCGAAGGTGGAATCGAACTCAGGTCCCTGGTGTTGTGAGGCAGCAGTGCTAACCACTGTGCCGCCGTGAACATTTGTAGTGAACAGTGAATATGTAATGAACATTTCTTCTACACCTCCGTTTAACTTCCCACTTTAATAAATAATAATTTCCTTCCTCAACACCCCCTTTCTAAAAAATCAAACCATGCTTTGAACCCTCAGTTCCCTTTCTATCCACGTTTTTTACGAGTTTCTTTTTGAAATTTTCAACTGATAATTGAGTAACTCTCCCTGAAAGTCCATTTCACATTTGAAATTCAGTGTGAGTAAAAGGATTTTTTAATCTCTAACCTTGCTGCAGGCTTGTGAACTTTGCATAGATTTCAGTGTGTTTTACCATTTGGATTACTCATTTAGCTGTTCCAATTCTATGCCTCCCGACATCAGTGACAGACTTTTAACTACTGAACTTCACACTGGAATTGCTCACAAACCTGCCTGCAGACTCCTGGGCCTCCTGCAGTGCCACAACTATGCCACCCGAAGGTTGCCGGAACAGCACCTCATGTTCCGCTTGGGAACCCTGCAGCCCAATGGTATCAATGTGGACTTCACAAGCTTCAAAATCTCCCCTCCCCCTACCGCATCCCAAAACCAGCCCAGCTTGTCCCCGCCTCCCTAATCTGTCCTTCTTCCCACCTATCCCCTCCTCCCACCTCAAGCCCCCCCCCCATCTCCTACCTACCAGTCTCATCCCGCCCCCTTGGCCTGTCCGTCCTCCCTGGACTGACCTATCTCCTCCCTAACTCCCCACCTACACTCACCTTTACTGGCTCCATCCCCGCCTCTTTGACCTGTCTGTCTCCTCTCCACCTATCTTCTCCTCTATCCATCTTCTATCCGCCTCTCCCTCTCTCCCTATTTATTTCAGAACCCCCTTCCCTTCCCCTCCCCCATTTCCGCAGAAGGGTCTAGGCCCGAAACGTCAGCCTTCCTGCTCCTCTGATGCTGCTTGGCCTGCTGTGTTCATCCAGCTCTATACCTTGTTATCTGCAGACTCAACCTGATTTGGAAGCCCAGTATAATTGTCTTGTTCAGTATTCTTCAAAGTTGAGGATAAAAGTTGAAAGTTTCACATTGCCATTGTGTGTGTGTGTGTGTGTGTACGCGTGTGAGAGTGTGAGTGCGTGTGTGTATGTGTGAGAATGACTGTTATATTATTAAGTTCGTATTCTGTTCGTTGTGTAGTTCAATTGAGGCATTCAAGAGGGCATTGGATAATTATCTGAATAACAATGATGTGTATGATTATGAGGCAAAAGGAGATTTGTATAAGTGATGACACTCGTTTAATGAACCTCTGCAGGCATGACAGGCTGAATGGTTGTTCTCTACGCCGTACACTTCTGTGATTCTGATATGTTAACTTTGGGTTTCACGTTGCCTCCCAGATTGTATGCAAAATGTGGAGAGGGAAGCAAATGGCTGTGTCATTTTTGCTATTATTGTACCTGACATGGAAACAGCGTGGGTGGTGGTTAACACCTGCTGAGGTTGCAAGAGTTTGGCTCTTTCCTCAAACAGCTTTCAAAATGTAGGTGGGGAGCTAATTTACTTTGTCAATGCATTTAGATAGTACTTGTTTTAGCAGGTATAGGAGACAAGCTCGGACATGTGTATGCATCTGGAAGATTTGAGTTGCGTTTGAACACCTGTAGGCTAGTCAGGGAGGTGAAGACAGAGTTCACAGTTTTGTCAGAACCAATAGGGCAGCTCCTGCACCTCCAGAATATTCATTGTTGTGCATAAATGGACCATGCCTTTGAATGTTTGTGTGATACATTAAGGGAAAGGAACTACAATATTCAGTGTGTCAAGCCAGAGTCTGTACATGTCTCTGCATTAACATTGACACCACAATAGCTTTTTCAAATCCTGGGAAAAGTTTTCTCTTTTGCTCCCTGCCTTTCATTCAAAGCCAAAGTCCTACAGCCCATATATTTATTTTACTGGTGTCATGCATATTTTTTTGGATCCAAGATGATGTAATGTTGAATGTTTCCAATATCGTTAGCAACTCAATTCCTAGATAGAAATAAGTCTTTAGTTTAATGTGTGCTGGCTGTTGCACACAATATTGAAACCCGTGATCAAGCAGCAGAATTTATTGCATGTGATATATAATGTATTCTGTAGAGAAGGGTGCAAGTAACCAGAAGCTGGAGAATGAGGGACAACTTGACCTCTGATAGAAGAATGGCATGGAAAGAAGGGAGTGGAAGGTCAAACAATTTTGAGGGAAAGTGGAAGAGGGAAAAAAAAAGTGGCGTGTACTAGAGAACAGGAGCTTGGTGAGCTTACGTCAAAGAGAGAGCTGTGGGAGACCAGCCACAGGCCAGAGTGAAGTCAGGGCAACAGTAGTGTCCAGATATGTAATAGAGTTGGACAGGAGTCGTTGAGCGCAGTTTTTTGCACACTAATGCATAGTCTTGGTTTTAACTACACATTCCTAGTCATTCAACTTTCTTACACCTCTAGTTTTGTCTCCTCTCCTTGTGCAGCAGCTGATCTTTGCCATGGTAGGGACCATCAACATTGTGTCCTATAGCATGTTATTCAGGTCATTGTTCTTCATGTGAGACCACATTTGCCATGTGTGAACTCTGACACTAATGACACTGATTTATATTTTAAAGACTGGCCTGAACAGATTTCAGATAGATTAAAATGCTTATCTGATAACAGACATGTAATTTAGAAATCTTAAATTAATCCTGGTACAAAATGATGCATTTTTCACGTAATATTCAGTGCAAATTCTATTCAGAGAATTGAATGAACTACAATCTAATAGTTTAGTTTGAGAAACTTGGTTGATATGGACGAATTGGACCAAAGGGTCTGTTTTTGTGCTATATAACTGTATGTTTGAACAGTAGTGCAATGGAGGCAAGGTGAATCAATTTACTTGTTACATTTGGATCTATAGAACCGAAACCAAGATGAAGGAGAGCCAGAGAATAAACAGCTCAAAGAAGACGAGGATACGGATGAAGAAGTGAAGCACCGGTGAGCAGATGTATTTATTGACTGTCTTAACATTATTTTCACCCCAACTTTCCCTTGCTTTTCACACTGACTTGTATGATGTTGCAGTTCCGCAGATGCCAGTTGGCTTTGTATGAACTATTAGACTCATGAGGGTGGTGAATCTTCACGTCATAAAGATTAGAATGTTGTGTGTATTTAATTATTCGTCACATGGCGCTGCATATTGTTGTGCTTCATTGTTGTCCACAGTGTTAGAGACTGCTCTGGGTTGGAGAGCCATAATGAAACAAGTGTCACAGCCTTTGGGAGTGATGGGGAGACTATGGGAATTGATAACCGTCAACGATTTAACAGTTTAAAAATTAATCTGTTTACTAGTTTAAATATGGCCAAGTGGCCACAGCGGTTCAAGAAGCCAACCCACCACCACCACCTCAAGGGCAGGTACAGATGCATAATAAATGCACAGCCAATATCCCATGAATTAAAGTAAAGCTATCTTGGGGCAAGATTGTAATCTTCCTTCACTGTGTGGCTCAATGACTTGCTGGGTTAACTGAGCCATTTGGATAAAGGAAAGAGTTGCCACTGAGTAGGAACTGCCACTTAAACAGTGGATTTCTGCTGAGTCAAGGAATTGAAATCCTGTTTGAAGTGAATTAAATGCAGTTAAAACTCTTGGTACATTTCAAACAGATTAAAAGATATTTTAAAATTGCACCCTAACTATAAGTACTTTTTGAAAGAGATTACAATTTGAGGAAAAGTACAGCAGAAAGGAATTAAGTGGAAACTAAAAATATTAGAACTCTGAAATTAAAAACAGAATATAAGCAACATACAGAACATGAGCATTACCAACAGAAATGTTTCTTTCCCTGAATTAGTATTCTTATGAATTACCTATTGAGCGCAAGCTGAAAAACTTTGCCAAAATGTCTTTTTTCAACAATACTCAAGTTCTGTACTACCAGATGACTGCTTGTATATCTCAGATATAATACAATAGGATCTGTTGAAGCAAGAATTTTGTAGCATTCTCATGAACACTTCTCAAAAGTTTGTTGCACTTGCAGAGAATTGTTAGCTACTTTTGTAGCACTGTGACAGTTGTATAAATGCGACAATCCTTTTTGGGATGACAAGACTCTCCTAAGAGAAATGAGCATCGAATATTAGAGATAACACGGTGTAGAGCTGGATGAACACAGCAGGCCAAGCAGCATCAGAGGTTCAGGAAGGCTGACGTTTCGGGCCTAGACCCTTCTTCAGAAAAATGCATCGAATATTGTCCATCGCACTGGGAGTATTCCCTCCTCTTTGGTATAGTGTCATGGGATCTATGATGCCAAATCTGAACAGGCAAACAGGACCTCAGTTTAAAGTCTCATTGGAAGAATCTGTATCACTGATGATGTGGCTGTCCCATAGCACTGTGCTGAATAGAATCTGTGCTCGCTGGGTGGGGCTTGAAACTGTAACCTGATGACTCAGAGCTTGCCTACGTGCATGGATGGATAAAAGACTAGTGAAGGTGTTAATTACTGAGTCTCCACCTGAAACAATGAGCCGTCTTTTTCCTCAAATCTATTTTGGGAGGGAAGAAATGGCATGTTGAATCATCACTGTTGAGAAATCTGTAGAATTTGCAATGATCAGATAACTGCTGACTTTTCCCAGGTAAACAATACCTGGAGGCTTGCAGCTGCTTCTAATATTTCACTGTTGAGAGATTTCTAACTGTGTTTTGGTTTCTAAAAGCCATGTTTCTCATCAAACCTCTCATACGTTTTATTAAAGCCATTTTGTTAAATGCCTTTGATTTTTGTGAATAGAATGTCTATTCTAAGATTTTTTAAGTGCTCTTCCTCAGTCAGGAGAAGGACGTTTGGAAAAAAGATATTGTTTCTTGCCGCCTGAATTTTTCCCTGTAGGTTTTGGCTGACTTCTGTTCATTCATTCATAAAACCATGAAGAACTTGCACCTATTATTGCACCATTCACCACCCCAGGGCATCCCAAAATGTTTGGAAGCAAAGAACTAAGATAATGTGCTTAATCACATCTTGTTACAACTGTTCAAAGTACTTTGAACACTTTCTCGGTAATGCAAGGCATTCATAGAACATAGAACGTAGAACATTACAGCGCAGTACAGGCCCTTCGGCCCTTGATGTTGCGCCGACCTGTGAAACCAATCTGAAGCCCATCTAACCTACACTAGTCCATTATCATCCATATGTTTATCCAATGACCATTTAAATTTTCGGGACCAAAAAATGCCACAAACTGTAAATGGCGATAGCTGACCAGTGTATCTGTTTTTGATCATGTTGTTTGAGTGTACAGTGTTGACTAGTATACAAGAATACCTTCTAATCTATGAAGAGTGCAGTTTTAACATTAAACAGAGCAGACAAATGGATCTTGGCTTCATGTCTTGTTTGAAGAAAGTCATCTCCAGAAATGTGGAGGGTCAGCTGACATAGGCTGAAGTCCTGGAATGGATTTCAAGTCATAACTTTTTGACACCTGTATTATAATTGTTATTAACTGAACTAAGCAGATAACTCTAATTTTTAAAGCTGTTGTGATCACATCATGCGCGCTTGGTATCCTGGATTATCTCAAAGCCTGGCAATGATTGCTCCACCTTCTGCATACTATGTTCATGAACCACAACCAGTTTAGAAGGCAAATACCAGTGATCATCACACTCACAACAATTCAACAACTTTGTAGGTCTCAGAAGAATGTTTACTAAACCCAAGAATAAACTTATACTGCTTGACATGAATTACTTTGATCTATGACCTATGACTGAGAGACTAGAAGATACTGTTGCTTTCATGGGTGCAGAAAATCATTCAGTTGTTTTTCAATAGCAAATGAATCTTCAAAATCTGATGATTGGACATCCTTGACATCACAGCCACCTTGAATTAATAGTAGATCCTTAATAGTCAATTCATTTGTTAGAGGCAGTACCAAAACAGCGCAGACCACCTATGATTGAACCTGATCAAAAGACAGTGTTATTCATGAGAGTGTGTGTGAAAGTAAGGGCCACAAGTGAGTTTACCTTATTATAATGTTACAAGGAGAAAATTGCTTCTTTCAGAAATGCAAATGTTTTCTCTGTCACGATTTGAGAAAATTCAAGATTCCCTAAGGGAGGCAATCATTGAACAGTAATGTCAATGCCAGAACACATCCTTTGTAATGGTCATTCGGGAAATCAAAGATTCCCCAAAGTTCATGTATAACGAAGAATTGAACCCAAATATTTCATCCTCATGCAGCAGAGTTCCAATACAGTCAAGTCATCAGTCATAGGTAAAGCCAGATAGTTAGTACCTGGCAGCGGTCTTTGAGTGATATTCTGCCTATGCCATGCAGTGCTATCTCGAGATATTTTCTATGCAACCTGTTCAGAGATGTTATCACAAACCTCTGGTGGCAGGTAGGACTTGAATGTAGGCCTACTGGCTCAAAGGGAGGGACACTGCTACTTTGCCACAAGAGCCAAAAGATTTTAATTAACCTGAAAACACCTGTTTGGAGTGTTCTGGCCTGGAGGTATGGATACTAGCACTGCACCAAAATGCAAGCAGGTTACAGTTTCATTCCCATCAGTCAAGTGGTAATCTCAGATGGCATATTACCACTTGGACCCGGGGACACAGCCTCAGTGAAGAACTGAGGTGAGGAAGGATTTCTTCAGCTAGAGGGCGGTTGCTGAACAAAGAGATCTAGCCGTGCAGATGCATAGTCCCTTGAAACTGGAGTCGCAGGTCGAAGAAGGCATTTGGCACGCTTGCCTTCATTAGTCCGATCATTGGGTATAGGAGTTGGGACGACATGTTATGGCCGTACAGCATGCTTTGGAATACTGCATACAGTTTTGATCGCCCTTCTACAGGTAGGATGTTGTTACACTTGAAAGGGTGCAGAAAAGATGTACAAGAATGTTGCTGGGACTGGAAGGCTTGAGTTATCGGGAGAGGCTGAACAGACGGAGGTTTTGTTTTCTCTGGAGCATCGGAGGACCTTATAGAGGTTTATAAAATCTTGAGGGGCATGGATAGGGTGAATAGCCAAGGTCTTTTTTCCTAGGGTGGGGGGTCTAAAAATAGAGGGCATAGGTTTTAAGGTGAAGGGGAAAAAATTAAAAAGGACTTGAGGGATAACTCTTTCACGCAGAGGGTGGTGCGTCTATGGAATGAGCTGTCAGAGGACACGGCGGAGGCTGGTACAATTATAACATGTAAGAGGCATCTTGATGGGTATATGAATAGGAAGGGTTTAGAGGGATATGGCCCAAATGCTAGCAAATGGGATTAGGTCAGATTGGGCTGTCTGGTAGGCATGAACCGAAAGGTCTGTTTCCGTGCTATGACTCTACAATCTGTGGAACTCCTTGCCACAGAAGGTTGTGGAGGCCAAGTTTCTGATTGTACTGAAGACAGAGATGGGTTCTTGATTAGTAAAGGGACCAAAGGTAATGGAGAGAAGATAGGAGTATGGGCTGAGAAATATTTCTACCCCTGTTCTGTAAAATAGAACTGCATATACTGTTTGAATAGTTGTGATTCAGCAAAGGTGTCCCTGGTTCCTCAATTCATAATTGTTTGTCTTCTATTTATCTTTGCAGGATGTATTTTTTTTAAGAATAAAGTGCAATGCAATATTTGTTTATTGCTTCTGTTTTATCATTCCTTTTTGTTTCTGTTTCCCTTTGTTTTTCCTTGTTGCTGCTCCTTTATTGGTCTTGGTCCCTTTAAAATGTTTGTTTGAGAACTGTAGGTTTTTAGTTTAAGATTGCTGTTGAAGCTTTTTTGCTTGCATGCTGCAGTCATACCAAATAAGGAATGATGTCACATTTGACTTTTTAAAAAAAATTTTGGCACCAATATGAATAAAAAGAGGTTAGTGTAGAAGATGGTTTCCTGGTATTTTAAAGCGATATTTCCTATTGGACCACTGGATAATTAATTGCTTTTTTAAAAAAAATTGGA